GTAAACAAACATGCATTTACTGCCTATTGAACCCAGTCTCTAGGAGTCTGCAGGACTTGCAGCAATTCATCTTCTCTACTGCCTTTTGCTGGTGCATGCATGTATTCCCAGCGTGCCTCCAGGGGAAGTGACATCAGAATGCTTTCTATGCGAGCACCAGGTGTATACAGACCAAACTTGGTGCCACGGTCATAAACCAAGTTAAATTCCACATATCTGTGAGATGAAGAAAATCAAAAATCCAAAAATCTCTCAGTTAGAACATGCACTATGATTGAACAATTTAGCAGGCTGTATTTCACTGTATAGCTTGCTCAATTCAAAAGTTTCTTTGAATTGAAATCTTTCCTCTCTGTTTGAACCTGGGGATAAATTAATAAATCACTACTCTTATTTTATCAATCCATATTGTAGGTTATGGGACCTTGTTTCTCTGCTCAGATTAATGGCTTTCATACTTAATGCCCTGAGGCCATAAATTCAGGCTGGAAAAAACTCAGTCTGCACCTTATAGTACAAACCTCCTTAGTAAGTAGGAGATATATTAATTGAAACAGTAATCTTAATAGAGGAAAAATAGTACCGATAAACTTCAACCTACACGCCATCACCTTTCTAGTATCAAAACCTTAAATGAAAATCTACATTCATCTCAGTAACATTATCCCCTCAAGTAGGTATTCCAAGCAGCAATTATTTTAAAAAAGAAAAAATAATAACATTCCATGCAATATTAAAGGAAAAGAAAGCAAAAAAAAAAAGCTATTATGCAAAATTTACAAGCACATAAAAAATTGAAACAATTATAGGAATCTGTTTAATGAAACACACATGAAGAAAAGGAAAATCTTTTGAAAATCTCTACAGCACATCTTATTTAATAACTGGTCGATATTCTGCTGATTAACAATGTTGTTTAGCAATTTAAATGGCATGACTTAATTGCTTCATATGTGGTTGTTTATAAATCCTAGAATGAAACACCTTGGTCCTGAAAGAATGAAAGCAAGATATTGCACTGTAATTTAAAAGTTAACATGTCCACATAGAGTTCTTAGAGAAGAGTTCTAAGGCCAGATAAAACTTACCGTCCTCTCCGTAACAACTGCCACTGCCGTTCACTTTCAGTGTATGGATCATCTTTGTGTTTTAAAACCATAGGAACATAGCCAGGCAGAACAGCATTGGCTCCAGCCTGAACAAACTTGAAAATCTGATCCTGTGAGGGTTTGTCAAGGTCATCAAAGAATATGCCTCCAACACCTCGACATTCGCCTGTTATGAAGAAAGAAACACTAAGCTTCAGAAGACTTGTGCATAAGATATAGACTTAGAGAGTTATATTTTGGCTTGACATGATTGCTTCTACTCGGTGAACATGAAAAATTTTAGTTGCAAACTGTCAACTGAAGGTAACTATTGAAGGTGTGGAATTCATTCCTGGATTAAAGGTACAGGGCAGTCCTGAAAATGATTGTTGTCAATGGCAGTGAGAGGTGTGTCAACAACCTAAGCAGGTGTCATCTTTACACTGTTCTCTGTCCATTCTCTATGGTACTGACAGGGAGAATTTGATCAACAATCAATAGCTTCTTGAGTGGGTGGTAACTTCATGTATTCTCATAACCTTTATACTTGAGTCAGCAGTGATAATGTATAGAGAAATTAGATGCTAATCACTCGTAAAGGTTAGAGGATTAATGACTTGACTTGACTTTTAGGATGGCTTCCATTAAGGTATTTTAACCATCAGTTACTGTGGTCAACAATAGTCCATTATCATAATTGTTAAGTTCAAACCATTTATTGAATCCTGAGTCTAGTTAAGATGCGATCTGTGCTTCTGAGGCAGATAAACCTAGCCTAACTGCCACACTGCTTCAGACTACTCAGCCCAGAGATGCAAGTGTGGCAAAGAGGTGTCCTCTACTTATGTTCTTGCCCCACAAGCAACCAACTTTCATCTTTAAGCAACCTGCACAACTTTTTTTAGTGAACTTCACAAGCTCTAAGACCCTGGAGCCCCAGACTTCTGAAAAAAGAGCCTTCAGGCACCCTATAATTTTTCTTAGAGCTCAGTTCTGTTTCATCCCCTTTCTTGGTCAATCTAAGCTGTTCTGCATCTTGCTATTATTTTTTTAGGAATTTTTTTCAGACCACCGAGTGTGACTCACCTCTATGCTTCACAACAAAATAATCATCACACCACTTCTTAAATGTTGGATAATAAGATGGGTCATGCTTATCACAGAAGTCCTTCAAAGTCCTATGAAAATGCTTTACATCCTATGACAGAAAAAAAAGATTCAACATTATTCCACCATGAAAAGCTATCTCAAGCACTAAAAATAAATTGATTCCTACAATTGAGCCAAATAATTAGTTGATCTAATACTAAATTCTCTGAACTAAAATGATAAGAATTGAATGGTTGACAATATGGAGAATTACAAATTTGATCTTGGAGTTAAAAGGTTAATGACTCCTAGAATCAAAGAGTTCCTTAATTTTTTTTTTTCATTCCCTTTATTCTCATAGCCTCAATGTTTGACTCAAGGGTGACACTTTTGGGAGAAGTTAAATGTTAGTTACTCTATGAGGTTGTGGGAGACTAGACATAGTGGCCTGATTGTAAGAGTATTGAACTTAGGATTGAGAGGTGTAGGTTTGAGTCCTGGTTGGGTCAATGTGTTGTGTTCTTAGGAAAAATTCTTTACTCTCAGAGTGCCTCTCGCTACAAAGGAGTATAAATAAGCACCAGTAAATTTTTAAGGGAAGCTTGATGAAATGCTGGGGGGTTACCTTGTAATGGATTGGCATCCCACCCAATGGGGAGTAAAAATACTCTTGGTCCCTTCATGCGGAGGAACATGGGATAAACTCCAGCTAGATGGGCTACTTGGCTTGAGTACAGACTTAACCCTTTAACTCCCAGAAGTGATTAACATGAAACTTCTCTCTATAAGATCCATACATTATCCAGCAAACAGGTAATGAGAATACTCAGACTTATCAGGTAGTAGTTGTTATCTTGATATAACACCAAATTCTCATTTACAAGGAAATGTGTGGTAGCAGGAGGGGAGAATTGACAACCAGATCTTGGGAGTTACAGTTAAATTTTTGTCACTTTAAAGGGTTAAAGAGTAAAGAAATGAAGCCTTATCAACAAACTTAAATTCTTCTCATCTACCTCTTGATCTAGGTAATAAGGTGTAAGGTCAGTTCCACCACCAAACCAACTGTGTTTCTTGCCACTTTCTTCTTGGACTTCAAAGTATCGATAGTTGAAGTGGAGGGTTGGAACAAATGGATTGCGTGGATGAATAACAGAACTTATCCCTGCCGCAAAAAATGGAAACTTGTTTCCTTGAAGTTTATTACCCCTACTTTTCATCTGTTCCACAGCTGCGGGTGACAGATTGCCATAAACAACAGAAACATTTACACCAGCCTTCTCAAACACCTTTCCTGCAAAATTACAGAGCAAGGTATAGCTTTAGGACAGAATAAAATTTTTCCCAGGTTGTCAAGTAAGAAAAGATGTCATTTTTTTTTTTGTTGAGACTGGGGGACTAGAAAAATCCCCCCTTGAGGAATTGCACCCAAGACTCTTGGACACCAACAGGCTGAAAAGGTAGCTAATGGAAAATCACCAAGTAAATGTATGCAGTCACTTTTGGATCAGCCAGCAGCAAGCTGCAGGCTCTAACAGCAATTTGTATCAGTCTTGAGTGTGATTTCCAAACAACACCATACTATTCTGAAACAAAGCTGTGGTCCTAAAGGCAATCTATCACTTACTTTTCTTTTCTTTTCAAGAACTGTTATGTCCAATGAAGTATGAAACTGTGCAGAAATCTCACCTCAGTCTTTTTTTGCAGATTTCACCTTTGCCTAAACCATTCCTCCATGAGTGGTGGGCAAAGAAAGAGGACATAGGGTAATTTTACAAAAAAAAAAGGGAAAATATTTTGTCACTTGCTACTAGGGTCAGCAGAGTAGCATTCAAATCTAAGGCAAGAAGTCTATCAGAGAGATAACCAGAAGGCTGAGTTTTCGAAACAAATTTGCAACTTCATGCCACTACTTGGGATTGAACGGTGTTCTCATGCCACAAAAAGATGTCCTGGAAAAATCGTCGCGGTTATTCCTTTTCTTATGCAGCCTTACCATCTTGCAAAACACAGCTTATTCCACCGCCACCTTCGTTTCTCAGCCAGCGATCCACATGGAAGTCGTTCCCATCGATTTCTGCAAGTTTCCGACAAATGTCGGCCTGAACGCCGAGGATCATGACCTCCATCCTGCTTTTCATGTCGTCCATGCTGTTCTCTAGAGTCTGAGATTCTGTTAATGGTTCCGCCATAAATTTGGAAGTGTCCACTTTTCTCTCGCGCGCTGTCACGAACGAAAATCCTAAAGCTGTACCTACACCAACTGCCGAGGCTCCAAATCTAATTAACATACTTGTCACTTTATACGTACGTGCGGCGCGAAAAATGCGAAGAAAAACCATTATAAAACTTATAAAACTTGAATTAAACTTAAACTTTTAAAACTTTCTAAATATTACCCAAATTTTCGCTGTGTAATGATGATGAAGACTGGGTTATAGCTTTATTCGTACTTCCACTGACAAAATACTGCGTGAATTGTAGGCGCAGATTTCCTTCAATCACGGTTTCCCGGATGTAAGCTGTCTCTTCGTTTGTGGCTTTTGGAAAGGTAAGGAAAAGGGAGAAAGGGTGACTGAAAATCAACCTCCATCATGCCTCTTTTATGACATCATTCGACTGTGCTCGGTTCAAGCCTTAACGAATAACCAAGCTATCGAAATACAGAACTATTTTTTATCAAATAATAAAGAATTACACGTTTTTAACTGTTGTTCTTTCTTGTGATGATCCACAAAAATATGGACGATCGGCGGGTTTTGTAAATGACAGAGCTTTAAAGAAAGCCTCATTTGCTAGCTTATGATTCCTTGAACACTCACCGTTTGGAAGTAATGTTTGTGAATCATCTCAGACCTCTTTTTGTGAAACGTTTCATCCAAAAAATATCCATCAGAACTGATGCCCCTCTTGTAAACTAGAAAATGTTCGTAACAATTTTCACGTGCATTTTTGTAGATGGCAAAAGTCCACACACCACGCAACAAAGATCTCGCCCCTGGTATAGGGAGGTACAGCAGATCAGCTATCTACAAAAAGAGGGCTCTGTATAAACGTAAAAAGACAGGAGTTAAGAAGGAAGTAGTCGAAGAACCAAAAACCAGAGTTAAGGAGGTTGGAGGGGACAAGAATGGCTCAACAAGAGTTGTTCCAGTAAAGAGAGAGGTATGTATCTTTCGTGAATATTGTGTAAACATTGAAACTCTGTTTCCATGTATCTGTTCTGTAATTAATCAATAGAGTTTTTGTTAACCAGCATAATTCTGATTTGGGCCCATCTCAGAGTCGTTTTAGCCCAGGCCACTCTAAGTGAGGGTTAACATGGCGCTTAGAAGGACCTAAAACATTATTCTGCCCAAGATCATAAACTCTATTACTATTACTATTACTCTGGAGGGGATTCAAAAAATGATAATGCTTAAAAATGAAAAACTCTTTGGGAAGCAGGAATAGCACAGTGGTGAGAGCACTTACCTTGCACCACTGTGGCTTAAGTTCCATTTCAGGACCTGACATCATATGTGGGTCATTCTCATCCTTGTTCCGAGGGTTTTACACTGGGTCCTCCAGTTTTCCTCCCACTGCAAAAACCTATATTCCAAATTCCAATTCGACATGGAACAGTGGACAGGAACAGCTACCTCTTAATTGTCCACTGCTAAATCACTCTGCATATTATTATTGAAATGACAACAAAACAGTCTAAACAATTGTGCAAATGTCAAAATCCCCATTAAAGGTTTCAAAATGCACCACTAAGCCCTACGAAATGATATTAATAGATCATTTTAAACCAAAATTTGGTTTGAACAAGGAATTGGTAGATAAGGTGTAGGTGATTGTGTCAGAGAGATTTTTACTACAATTTGATACAGTTGATACCATTCATTCCCATTTATTCTATATTTTACAAATTTACTACAATTTTCTAATGTATGTAGCAGCCCTATTGATCATAAAAGTGATGCTAACAATGTTAAAGGTTAAAGTGAAACCACAAGATGCAGCCAAGTGGTTTCACTGGTAATGTCAAGTGAATGGTTTTGACCTAATTGTTTGCAATCTTGAATGTTCTGGAAAAGCAATAAGTTCAAGTGTAGCCATTATTAAGAGTGCACCCATTTTCATTGTAAAGTTCTTTATTACAGTTTTATTGATTTGCGCCGGTGATATTCATATTTATTTTCATATTTATTTCAAACTGCAGTGTAATACTTTTTCTATGTTGCTCTCTTATAATTTTTTTAGTCTCGCTACTATCCAACTGAAGATGTGCGACGACCTCTGATGAACAGGAGAAAGGCCAAGCCCACTAAGTTGCGATCCTCTATAACTCCTGGAACTGTTCTCATTCTCCTTGCTGGACGTCATAGAGGCAAGGTTAGTAAAACATCTGTTAGAAGTGCAGCTCTTGGCATACATAGCACATGTGAAGCACTTATGGCCTTGTAAGTACTAGCAGGTGTTATGGAGTTTCAATGGCTAGAGAGGCATCATTGTTAGTAGAGTTTCACCTTTGACAACTGGCTAGGGATTTTATGATGACAACTGCAAGAGTCAATGTCTTAATCCCAGTTCTAGTTTCCCTCTTGTGTAGGAGTGTTTTTTCCCCTTTAGTTTTAGAGGTACAGGTCAACCTTGATTATTGGTATTCTTTGGTTATCTGGACTTGCTTATCTGGTTCAATTTTTTCATAAATGTTAATTAGTCACATTCAAGATCCATAAAAACTTTTTCCCATCAAACAAAGCAGATGTACTGAAACAATGTTGATGCCATTCCCTGAATGAAACTTTGGTATTGTTCTTGATTGTCCATCTTCTTGAATGTCCAGACTATTCAGCCTAGTTCCCACAGGTCCAAATAATCAAGGTTCAACTGTACCCAGAAATAGTTCCGTATGTGTACTATAGAGAGAAATGCAAAGACATTCAGCATACAATGACTGAGAGTCAAAGCTTGCGCCTGTTTCATTCCATAATTGTTTTAATTTTTGATTAAAAACTATTCTTTTGTAGAGGGTGATCTTCCTAAAGCAGCTTGCCTCAGGTCTTCTGCTAGTCACAGGTATGGCTCACTATTTAGAACAGGTTATTGGGAGAGCAATGGAAAAATGAATCTTGTGGGATGTTCAGGGCACCAAAAAGTTGCCTTTCGGCAACCTTCAATTGTAAAATGGTCACCATAAAAAAAATTTGGTCTGTTTGCATTTGTTTGTTTGATAGTTTGATCAGGGAGCAATAAATTTCTCATGTTTTTCTTTTACTTTTTTTTTTCAAATCTGTTGGTCACCAATTGAGTGACTTTTGTTGAAATTGTAGTTGCCAAATAAATTTTTTTCACTTGCACTGGCAACCAAAAGGGTCCCAACTTAAAGCGCTGATATTTCACATTTACTTGAGGTCTTGAACACTTGGTGATAAAATTTTACCACCAGTCACCATCAACTTCTGCTACAAATTCAGCTGTCAAAGTGGTTTTTTACTCATCATTGTAACCAAAACAAAACAAATTTAGCTGTGAAAATTTTGCAGTTTGGAGTACCTTTAAGGCTTTTCCATCATTTGAAGGATTAAAAAAAAATTACATTTAGTAGTTTCATGCAGTAACTAACCTGTCTTTCTCCCCTAAGGGATAAGCAAATTCAACACAAAACTTAACAGAATTTTAAGTGCTCTGTGTTATTTGTATGCTCTGATCTTAAGGGTGCAAACATGAGCCTGTTTACTTATATTATTCATTTTCTCATGCCCTGGTTTGTTTAATTATGTGTATTGTTCTTCTGAAGGACCCTACAAGGTGAATGGTGTTCCTCTCAGAAGAGTGAACCAAGCTTATGTCATCTCCACCAGCACCAAGATAGACTTGAGCAACTTCAAGTTACCTGAACGTCTGTCTGATGACTTCTTCAAGAGAGAGCCAAAGAAGAAGAAGCGAACAGAGGACATGTTTGAAGATGCTCAGGAGGTAGATTTACCTGCCTTTATTCTTCTGGAATTATTTTGAAATAGTTGCTACATTAGATTAACCATGTGGGTACCTACAGCTGTATAATCAAAACTCTTGGCAGCTTGCCAGCATCAAAGATGACTGATGAGGGAACAAAATCTACTTGAGAAAAGTATAACAAATGCACTTGTAGGAGCTAACAACCTATGTAAGAATGTTACCTGTAACACATCTTGAACTATGATTGATAATGACTGTTTACAGATACAAAAGATTAAACTTTCTTTATTATCCATTACCACAATGAAATAACAAATCTATTGTCTCTGGTCATGTAGCAAGCTACATCTTTTTCCCTCCAAGTTTTAAAGAAATGCAAATTTGTCAAAGATTCCTCTGGCAATGGCAAGCCTTTACAACTTTAGTTATTTTATTGCACCCTCATGTTATCCATTTTGTAACTTGTTGCATATGCTTGGTGTAGAAGACAAGTTATTGTTATAATTTGCTTGGCAAATACATCCCTCACTCACTCACTCACTGTAACATGAATAGTGAGGTCACACTGAAGATTGTGTATTATAATTAGAGTTGTTGCTTTGATGCCTGAAGGGGACCTCCATCTCAAAATTTGTTTTACACCTACTGATACACTTTGTGGCTCTTCTGCCTTTTTACTAAACAAAATGATCTACAATGAAAATTTTTATTTATACATGTTTGCTTGTTTGTTTGTTTGTTTGTTTTTGTAATAAAGGAGAGGAAACCAAGTGAAGAGCGAATCGAAGATCAAAAGGCAGTTGATGAGCAAATCCTTCCAGAGATCTCCAAAGAAGCACATCTTAAGAAGTACTTGAAAACTTTGTTCTCCCTCCGAAAGGGACAGTACCCTCATTCAATGATATTCTGAGCTTGTTGGTGTAAATTACAAGAATAAAAGTTGACAACTCAAACTTTTCAAATTTGCTTTGGGCTTCTGTTTTATGAATGAACTACATCATCTCATTTGGTAACTGGGTGCTACACTAAAGCTTCACTTGCTTTGAATTGCCAAAAAGTTATAAGTTAACCCCTAACAACCTGCAGCTTGTCTTGATTCGCTGCAGTATTGCTTTGGATTAGCCTTGTACATAGTGTGTAATTTTACCCAGAATGGCATGAGCCTCGTGATTTCTTGTATTTGAATTTACTGCCCCTCTCAAGAATCTCCAGTTCTTAACCCTTGAAGTCCCAGAGGTGATCCACTTGAAACTTCTCCCTTTATTATCCATACATTATCTAGCAAACAGGCAATGAGTATACTCAAATGCATCAGGCAGAAGTTTTTATCTTGATCTAACACCAAGTTCTTGTAACTAATTTATAAGGAAGTGTGTAGCAGCTAGAGGGGAGAATTTGCAATCGTACCTTGAGAGGTGTAGGGTCAATTCTCAATCCCTGACCTGTTTT